AATTACCCAGGATATTTTCAGACCCCAGGAAAGCATGTTCTTTCACTTATGAGAAAGTAAGATATTTCAAGATGTTTCATGCATAGGGCCATAAAAGATGAAAAAGCAGCTCAGGGCATTTCTGAGAATGATGGGATTTTATACAATATGGGTTCCAGATTTGGTTGACCGTTTTGTGAGACTTTAAAGCATCTTGGCATAGACCCACTATGCTGGACAGGAGACAAAAAGTTTTCCAAAGAATTAAAGAACTTAGGGGCTGGCAGAACAGCATGGCAAGCTAACACTCTGCCTGCTAGTGCTGGCATCCCTTAGGCTTGTCAATTCCTTGTCAAGGCCCAAGTGCTTAGGCCCCTGCATTCACATGTGAGATCAGGAAGAAGATCCCAGCTTCAAATCAGCTCAACATTGTGCCCATTTGAAAAGTGAACCAACAGATGAAGACCTCTCTCTCTCTGTAACACCTGTCTTTCACATAGAAATAAATAAATATTAGAAGAATCAGGAACTATAAACAGAAGCTATAGCCACAGGAATCTAACCTGAAGAAGACATTCACCTTGTTTATAGCTCTACGAGTACTGATTTAAAAATTGGGTCCACTTTCATGACCAATGGGCTATTTTTTTTTTCTAAACATCTAGGTTCAGTGTCTGCAGGGTGGCCTGTATTGAAGAGCTGTGGCTAATACAGCATTCAGTGAGGAAGCCACCATCTCAACTTGAGGCCAATCATTTGAAGTTCTATCCCCACACCAGATAAAAGAACTGACATTAAAGGACATCAGTGGCTAGCAGGAACATACTTCACAAAATTTCAGGCTCTTTTGTTAGACTCATCAGAGACAGCTCTTAAAATGTGCCAACTCCTAAATCAGGTGACTTTGCTGCCACCTGGGGATACTGAAAAAATTAACTCTTTTGTGGAAACTACAGAAAAGACCTGCCCACACAGCAGTGGTGGGCAGTCCCGGGTCAAACGGGGCCGGGAGTCTCTCAATCTGCCCGTGTTGGACTGCCCAGCAGCACTCTTTGGGTACTTGGCAGTGTGGTTTTAAAGGGGGGCCAGGGATGGCACAAGTGGGGGTGAGTGGGGACCTGAGGGCAAATGTATGGGTGAGGAATTACTAGTGAGAAACTTCCATATACAAGGCCACTGTATTTGCAGGTAAGCAAAGGGGCTGAGACTGAGTGGTTTGGAAGGGGGAACAGGAGGACCTTTAAGGGCCAAACTGAAGTACCAGATGTGTGGGAAACCTGAACCGGTACTTAGCATCGACCACCACTGAATACCACTCACTTGTGCACACTGAAACTAGTATGGCTGGGGGCCTACCTGGCAGGTCATAGTACCAACTGGTGAGTTGGAATAAAGGACAGATGATTTTAAGCTGGGCCATCACACTAACCAGAATGCAAAAAATCAGGTATGAGGGAAGAATCCATGTGTGTGTGTCAAGGGGGGAAGTGGTATGTAGGCTCATCCCTGTGGAACTACAATCTCCACTGGCATGTGCAAAATCTATGGCTGGGAACAGGCCTTGTTGGGGGAGCTAAGAGAATGCTCCAGGTGGGTTGAAGTTCCCACTGGTAAGTATGAGAGCCAGAATGGGGACAGCAGTATGGTCTAGACATGGTTGCAGTCTCCCTTGGCATGGGTGTGGACTGGGCCTGGGGAGTGCCAGACTGAGCTAGACTCTAGCACCCACCGGTTATACATGAAAGACAGGGTGAGTGTAGAATGGGTTGAACTAGGTCTCAGTTCCCTGTGAACCAAGTGAGAACTGTGTATGGTTATGGACCAGATATGGCTGGGCTGTTAACACCTAACAGTAAGAACCAAAGTAGGTGTGAGCCAGTTGGGCAAGAACACAGTTACGGCTAGGGTAAGAGGTGGACTAAATCAATCTGGGCCAAGGGCCCACTGGTGTGCAGCAGACCTTCCAATGGGAGGAGACCTGATAGAAGGGCTTGGGGAACTCCTTTGTCAAGACACAGTCCTTGCGGGTGAGCTCAAGAAGCAAGGCAAGGAGCAGCCCAGACCAGGCCAGGTTACAGTATCCACCAACATAACGTATCTGTGGATCAGGTCTGGTAGTGGGCCAGGCTGGGCCAATTCATAGCACACATTCGCAGATCTGAGAATCAATACAGGGTCCAGGATGGACTGATTCAGGCTGCAACACCAGCCAGTTCATATTAGGGCCAGGAAAGAGGGCTGGGTGGGGCTGGTTGGGTCAGGGTCACAGTTAGCACCCAGCAGCAGAAAATGGAATTGGGCACAGACCAGACTGCACCTGACAGTAAACGCAGAGGTGAGATAGGCCACACCAGACTGGGCCGCAGCATGCAGCAGTGCTAGTGATCCTGTCTCATCTTATCATTAAATAGACGAAGCCAATAAACAAGAAGTTACTTGGATACTTTTTGTCCTAATACTGGTAGCCACTTTTCATGCTTATAAAATTAGCCTACAGCCACAAACATAAAATCAGGGCCCTAATAAACAGATGACATAAAGTGACTGATACAGTTGGTCATGTGTTGTAATTAATGTAATTTATCACCTCTACTTTATAGGTAGTACAATAGTATGTTTATAGAAAGAGATGCTTAAAGGCTTCTGTTATAAGATCTTACAATCTGCATGGGGTAATCTATCAAAGCCCACTACTTAGAGAATAAAATAATATATTCTTCTCTTCTTAAAGAACACTCCGTTTGGGCCCCGGTGTGGTAAGCCTAGCAGCTGAAGTCCTCGCCTTTCATGTGCCAGGATCCCCTATGGGCACTGGTTTGTATTCTGGCAGCCCTGCTTCCTATCCAGCTCCCTGCTTGTGGCCTGGGAAAGCAGTCGAGGACAGTGTGAAACCGGGGGGTCCTTTACCCTCGTGGGAGACCTGGAAAAGAGTCCTGGCTCCTGGCTTTGGATTGGCTCAGCTCTGACAGTTGTGGCAGCTTGGGAAGTGAACCTTTGGACAGAAGATCTTCCTCTCTGTCTCTGATCCTCTCTGACTTTCCAACAAAAATAAATAAATCCCCAGTTGGTCTGGGGATTATATGAACGCAGCAGTTAAATTCTTGCCAGGCCTGGAATTCTCACCTCAATGATTCCAGAACAACACTGGCCTTTGGTGTTCTTGTCTACTGGAGAAGCCAATGACTCCTTGAGTCTAGGGATTAGAAGCTTGTAAGGTCAGCTAGATTGCAGCTGCAGCCCTCAAGATAATGAATTGCTTTTGATAAGGGGCAAGTAAGGATACCTTGTGCTAAACAGACAGGAAGCTAGGTCCTGCTTTCATGTTATGGGGGGTTCGGTCTCAAAATCATGCCGCTGTCCATTTTCCTGCAAATATAGTTTTGTCAATGCTTGTTTTCTATGTCTGTGAAACAAATCATTAAGAATACTGTAGTACTATATTTTAATGATCTGTGATTATTTTAAAATTTATAGTAGAAGAGAGCTATATGGAAATATTTCATCTGAATATTCTTTTTTTTTAAAGATTTATTTTTTTATTATGTTTTTATTGGAAAGGCAGGTATACAGAGAGGAGAGACAGAGAGGAAGATCTTCGTCCAATGATTCACTCCCCAAGTGAGCTCAACGGCCAATGCTATGCCTATCCGAAGCCAGGAGCCTCTTCCGGGTCCCCCACGCGGGTGCAGGGTCCCAAAGCTTTGGGCTATTCTCGACTGCTTTCCCGGGCCACAGGCAGGGAGCAGGAAGGGAAGCAGGGCTGCAGGGATAGAACCGGCGCCCATATGGGATCCTGGGCGTGCAAGGTGAGGACTTAACCACTTGCGCCACCGCGCCGGGCCCTCATCTGAATATTCTTTATAGCCCTTGCCTATAGTACTGTTGAACTATTCTTTTGGAATATTTTTTACATGTTGAGTTTTTATTTATTGGAGCATAAAACCTTTGAGCATAATATAACTTAAAAATGTTATCTCAAAAATTAAGAATGGAAGCAAGCAGACCAGGGAATATTTTTGTAATTGTCTTGATGAGCTACATTGAATCTGTTCTGTGTGTATTAATGTGACATTAATATGAGAATATATGGGAACTGTATTGTGGTGATATCAAACGTTTGGTGTGACCCTGTGAATCTAACATATGAATGACTTCATATCCATACACAGTCATGAGCACCAACCTAATAACTTTAGTGGACAATAGGCTTCATAAAAGGGAGTGTTCATATTGCCAATGACACTGAAGATGTCTTAGATCCTACTGCACTCCCCATGATATTCATACAACAACACAACCATCTAACAATGCATTTCTAATATCATAACCCACTCATTATGTAGCACATGTTTATATCTGTTTGGACACTTAATCAATATCCTCTCTGACATACCATGAACTCTAAAGGAAGCTATCTTATCTGTTCACTTTGGATCCCAAAGCATAGTAGAAAGCTGACATTTTCTTACTTTTTTAATGCTATCCTGTAAGAATGATTTAAAAATCCTCATTTTCACAGCTCACATTTTCTGTGTGAACCTCTTCCAGTACATCACAAAGCCCAGAGTCTTTAAAAAAATTATTAGGTTCAATGTAGTATTTAAAACTACTTAATGGCAATGCAATCCTGCCTCCCAACCAAATTCTGTAGACAGAAGCAGATTTCCTGGAAAAAAAAAATGGGTCACCAATATTGGAGACTGAAGCATGAGGAGCCGTCACTTTAAATAATGCATCATCTGCCTTAGCTATGATAGATGATGCTTTCTGATCATGGTAAACTAATTATTTTTAGATGATAAGATGTATGTTACCAGGCACTAAGCAGATATTAATTATAAATAAATGGTAAACTTAATTGGGATTCAGCTTGAAAATTGTATAGTCTATAAAAGAGTAAAGTTAAATGTGAAATATGAAAAAAAGTAAAATAGTCTAATCATGATTGAATTAATGAATTGGGAATTTTCCTTTTTGTGTGACTGTTAGTTTGAATGACTGAAAAGTTAGTGATGTTTTACCTGCAGTTGTCAATGTGATATTTTTCCACTGCCATGGATGGAAGGAAAGATCCCAAGTTATTGAATTCTGTAACTTCTATATAGCCAGTAAAATTCTCAACTAAGACTGGTCCAAAAATCTGTATAAAGAAAGATAAAAGAGACAGAGAATTTATTTATTTAGTGTATTTTTCTTGTTACAAACTGATTAAAGTGTACAAATGGATATATTTGGGACTTACGTGGCTTATTAAACATACTGGTAGTTTTTACATAGACACCAACTGATGTTAGTAACTATATGTTGGCTATTTTAAATAATGCTACAATGAATATGGGTGAATTAGGAAACAAGTCCATTACTACAATGCAATGTCATTCAGTCTGCCTATTGCCACAATGTGAATGACTTTTAGGACATTAGTCTCAATACACCAGATATAAAAGGAAAGATACTATACGATCTCAATTACAAGTAGAATCTAAAATAAATAAAATACACAACATCAGGGAATAATCAGAGAATAATACTGTAATTACTAAGGGGTAGGTGTTGAATAGGAAAAATGTGTAAATGCCGATATCAGGATGCTAAGTAAAAAAATGTGTGATTAATGTCTAGAGAAGTAAGGCACAATAGTGATTATATTAATAATATTGTATTGAGAGTCTGTTGAATGACTAGATTTTACCTGATGTTGACATGAGGAAGAAAAAAAAAGGTTAACTATGTTTAATAAAGGCTGGTAAGTTAACTATCCTAACCAGTTACAACCTATAGTTACCTCATAGCATAATGATGCATGACATAAATAAACAAAGTAAGATCACCATCAAAAATTAGGAAAGTGGATTTAGTGTTGTGGCAAATAGGATTGAGACACAGTTTGGAAACTTGGTATCCCATATTAGAGTTCCAGTTTGAATCCTCACAGCTCTGTTTCCAATTCAGCTAACAGCAAAATCAGTGAGTGAGTGCCTAATTACTTGATTCCCTGCTATCTACGTGGTATACATTGAGAGTTACCGGATCTGAATTTTGAGTTGGTGCAATCCTGGCTGATGTGGCCATTTGAGGAGTGCATGGAAGAATCACTCTCTCTCTCTCCTTTTCTCCTACCTTCTCTGATTTTCATGTATAATTCTTCTGTTTTAATTACTAGTAAAGAATACCATATTGTTAGGTTAAGACACTAGGAAGCTATGCATGTTGACATTATATTAATTATACAGATTCAATAATATAAATACTTTCAATAATTATAAATCTTCAAAAAATGGAAGAACAGACCATACACTTATTCTTCTCATCGAAGTGTTACATTTTCCAGGTTTTGCCTCTGCTCCTTGTACTTTCTTCCTCCAGACAGTAAACACCTGCTCCACTTGCAGTAATACAAATATCAAGAAGGGGGTGGATGAGGTGGCTTAGCAGCTGGCCTTTCCCATGCCGGGATGCCCTATGGACACCGGTTCATATCCCGGTTGCTCCACTTCCATCCAGTTCTCTGCTTGTGGCCTGGGAAAGCCACAAGCCACGTAAAGGTGCCCAAAGCCTTGGGACCCTGCACCCACATGGGAGACACAGAGGAAGTTCCTGGCTCCTGGCTTTGGATTGGCTCAGCTCTGGCCATTGCAATCACTTGGGGAGTGAACCAGCAGATGTAAGACCTTTCTGTCCTTTCTTGTAAATTTTACTTTGCAATATAAAATAAAATAAAATAAAATAAAATAAAATAGATCATATATATATTATCTATCTATCTATCTATCTATCTATCTATCTATCTATGAAGAACTGCACTTCCAAGGCCAAAAGGAATCACAGAAAAACTTAAAATCTTTTTAGCCTTCTTCAGACCTGAAATTATACATACTTATGCTTTCTGTTGTGTAGCTTATCCACCATAAGAATAACTTTGGGGGAAATGATATCAGAGTTTGCAAAGGTTCAAGAATGAAAAGAAATAAGCACACTGGAAAGCATAACCTTGCAAAGACAAATGGCTTCTTATCCTATTCACTGCGAACACATAATAAAAATCTGATACCAGGATTGGCATTGTGACGAGTTCAGTTAAGCCAGTCCTGCAGCTTCTTTTCTGATTTAGTTCACTAACGTGCCTGAGAAAACAGTGCAACATGGCTCAAGAACTTGAAAGATGGCTTTCCTGATTCTTGGCTTCAACCTGGAAGAGCAATGATCAATAGCTCTGAACACTGGCAATTTGAGATGTGAAGCAATAGAAAGAAAACCTCATAATTTATGTGCCTTTCTCACTGTTACCCTGGCTATCAAATGAATTAGTCAATAACACAATTGCAGTAATGTCAGGTAATTTTCTAAATTTATACTTATGTAAGAAATAGAAGTAAACTAAAAGAAGAAGCTCAATCTAGAATTTAATAGTCAGCAATAAGAATTTAGGGCTGTATCCCATGTTCTGTTTCAGTATATTAAAAATCCTAAGATAAACTAAATCATGCCGAAGAAAATGCTAAACTTACACATTGAAAAATAAATGATCCAATTTGCCTTTTGAATTAAAAAAAAACCCACACTTTGCATTCTGAATACTTTATTCCTATTGAATGTAATATTACAAATAAAAGTATACAAATGATAGAATAAAAACTTTCCAATGTTTAGACTTTAAAGACAAATATATTTTATTTCTTATTATTTAGAGTATTAAGATCTTTTCATGATACAAACTCAAATGTACTTTCAAATCTTTTCTACTGGTAATACTCTGTCACCTATCAAATGACTGAAGTAGAAAAATAAAATGATATTTCATCCAGTAAGTTTACGAAGAATTCAAGTTGATTTCAAGGAAAACAACCCTTTAGTTCTTACATAATGCATATGGGAAAGTATTGATTTGCAATTGTTAACCTAAAGTTTTTATGGCTTTCATTTATCTTTGAGTGTCAAATCTATTTTTTATTATAGCTACACATAAATCTGTAAGTTAGATGCTAAAGTCTACAACTCTCCCTTGAAACAGAAAAAACAAGTGAATTATCACAGTTCACTGTTAAAAAATTTAAAATTAAGTAGTGTTTGAAAAATGCTTTTGATTGTAATTACTGTGAACACTGAAACTTTATTTTGATCTACTCCAACAATTACATAAAATATGTACATGTTTAATAAGATATGCTCTATTCATTAAGATCTTTATAATTCAAGAGAAAAGGGAAAGTTGTATTTTAAATGAACATAAAGACGCCAGAAAACTATGAGAAATGTTATACAACATGATTCCATGAATATTTTATAGAGATAGTGTTCTGAATTCTATGATTCAATTTCATTCATATCATACAGATGAAAAATAAATGATTTATTCACCTTGGCCTTTGAAAAAGGGCAAGGCAAACTTCCGCAGCTATTAGCATTTATATATGAATGAACTAAAAATCCTTTCACTGCTTATATTTTAATAGACTGGTGGCTCTTCAGTTCTCACGCATACCAGCTTTTGCTGCTTTTCTTTGTGATGATTGATTTCTCTTCAAACTCTTCCTCCTGAAGTCTGTTTTACTTCCAATATGGAAAAATATAAGGAACATCTGAACCATACAGATTGATGCTAACTACTGAATTCAAGGCACATGATTGTTTAGATGATTTCTAGACCTGAGAAACATTTCCTTGAAAAATTTATTTATAGTATAATATAATTTGCCAGATATCTAGAGCAAGATTCTCAAAATAGAAGGGAAAGATTAGAATTTGTAGTATAAATTAAATTGTAACATTGCATAATACATACATGAAATACAACAATGAGAAATAAACTCTATTGTATTATAGAATGATACTGTTGCACATTATTTTCATTCTAATGAGAGAAAGATTGCACTTCTCATGTAGTTTCAAATATAGTCCCCAGAATAATTCAATGCTAATAATGACTTTTGGCCATTAAAAATTTATTAATTTACTTGAAAGACATAGCTCAATCTGTTGTCTGTTGGTTTACTCCAAAAATGCCTGCAACAACCAGAACTGTCATACCAAAGCCAACGGCCAGGAAATCCACCTGGGCGTCCCAAGGGGGGTGTCACAGACACAGGTACTTACATCTTCTGCCTTCTTAGGTACAACAGGAAGATGCAATAGAAGAAGGATGTTTTTTTTATTTGAACTTTGATATACCATACGCATGTCCCAAGTGGTTGCTTAACCAGGTGTGCCAAAACACTTACTCATTTTTAATTTTTTTTGCTATTTCTAAACAATAGATTTCTTAAATTTCTAAACAACATCAAAATGTAGCCTGTTACCTGATGGCAACAAGATTATTAATGCATGGGGATTGGTGTTGTGGCACAGGCTTGCAATACTGGTATCCCATGTGTGTACCAATGCTTGTCCAGGATGCACCACTTCTGATCTAGTTTTCTGACAAGCATCTGGGATAACCAGTGGAAGATGGTCCAAGTTTGGGCTCCTAACATCCACCTGAGAGACCTGGAAGCGCTTCCTGCCTCTGGCCTGGCCCCACATTGGACAACACAACCCTCGGAGGAGTGAACCAGTGGATGAGAGATCTCTCTCCATTTTTTTCCCATTCTTTCCTCCCTTCCGTCCCCTCCCCCTCTCTTCTTCTCTCTCTCTTCTTCTCTTTTTCCTTCCATCTCAGTTTCTCCCTGTCACACTGATTTTAAATAAATTAATAAATCTTTAAAGACAAAGCAAAGCATTATAATGGTAGTAATAACATAACTCTTAGTTTTTTTCATTTTTGAACCTGAGTTGTACCAAAGTAGTATATACAGCTTTAGTCAGTTGTCATTTGTTATATCTGCTGATACAGTAACATTTAATTTTATCTCGAGAATTTGAGGAATTTTTCTTTCAATTCTTCAAAGAAAGCTAAATTTGGGGATTATTCATACTACATCTTGTGATACAAGTCTGAAAAAAACATATTGCTTCAGGTTGGATGTTTTTCTAAACTGAAACATCATTAATTTAAATTAATGACACTGTTGAGGGATTCAGAATTCTGTATAAATATTTTTTTAATTTAAATGTTTTTCTTTTAACACTTGAAAGATGTCTTTCATTCTCTTCAAGTCTTAATTTTGTCTGGTGAAAAATCAGTA